AATGTATTTTTCTGTTTGACTTCATCCAATGTTGAGTCTTAAATTGACTGAAAATTAGGTGATACGAGATCAAACTCGCCTCAGTCATGACCAAATTGAAATCTGGGTTCAGTCAGACGGAATAAAATGTTAAATTAGTGTATCCCTTTTTTCCAACATGTCATGTGCATAGATGATGTTCTGGAAATCGTCACACACAAAATGAATGATTTAATGAAATTATATACAATATGTGCAAGAATGTTTTTTTCCCTGCAGTCGGCATTCCAAATGATTTTTGTATTGACTTTTTTTTTTAAGGAAGAACACCCAGAAAAAGTACTGTCTAATAAATTATTCCCTTTTTATTCTAGGCTGCAGTGCTCAGAAAATCTCTCTTTCACCTACCCCCACTTTATACTTACTGTATTTGTGACTTTTCAAAACATATGCAAACATATATTAAGTAGCTTTTGCTGAAAATTTAAAAAACGCATCAAATTTGTTGTTGGCTACATTTTAAACATCCATCCAACCATTTTCTTCCGCTTAATCCATGTCTGGGTCGGGGGTGGCAGTCAGAGCACCAGCCCCTCACTGATCCTCCTGCAGGTGCTGAGTCCACAGGAGCTGAGATCTTTCAGTGGGAGCTTCAGGCAAAGTGGGGTTAAGTGTCTTGCCCAAGGACACAACAACAGCAGACATCATTAGTCTTTTTTTAACACAGATAGTGAATCTATTTTCTGTTTTGAAGTTGATGGTTTAAAATTAAATACTCCAAAGCATTTGCCTGAAAGCAAGAACAACCTTATTTTTGAAACACTATCTTCCCAAGCAGCTAGTTTCATGAGCTGTGTTTAGTCACATCTGACAGAATAGTTAAAGAACAAATCGGAGAAAACTGTGTGAGATGAGCAAAAAGCAGTTTTATTACATACATCAATCACAAGCAAAAGTGTGCACATGCTCTCAGCTATTTCTCATGTGTAAGTAAAGGTAATTAACCCATATAATCTGTATGCCATTGTATGCACCTGTTGTGTGCACTTGTATATTGTAAATAGTAACTGTAACTCTATTTTAAATTTAAATTTATTCTTTAGAAGTGTTTTTTATTCTTATTTTTATTATCTCTTTCTGACTGTTGCACTGAGCCAAAGCAATTTCCAAGTCTGTGACCTCCTGTTACTTACGTGGCAATAGAAATGATTCTGATTCTGATAAAGTATCGCCGTCATCTTGGATATTACGCTAAGTAGTTCTGCATTATCAGTTCAGTGATCTGCGATTGGCTCATCCTTCAATCGACCAGGATTACCGAGAACGTCAGATCCAAGAGCGTTTGCACATGTTTGGTTGTCTGGCGACCGCATCACAGAGTCCTTTGATTATAGGACTTAACGGTCATTTTGCATCGACTGTATGTAGTGGCTGCTCTTTGGTTTGATGCCTCTCTGAGTCTGGGTTTGTCGTGGTGTAGTTGAAGTTTAGCCTGAGTCCAACGCCCACTTTGACGCGGCGCTATGACAATGATGGACTTCTTTGCCGTCATTTCAGCCACAACCTTCCCTCACAGCACACGCACACACAGTCGGAGCGAGCCATTGTGCCAGCTGGCATTCATTTGACAACCCACTGCAGGATTAACTGGTACCAGTATGCTGCCCTATAAATAGAGTGTACCAACTGCTCCAGGAAATGAACCGTGATGGAGGCTCCCAAAGGCCCCTGAACAGGTTGTGCTTTTTATCCCCCTCCCTTTCTCGGTCTGTACCGTGCTTCATCGGCGAGAGACTGATATTTGTTACTGTCTATATACAAGTGGAGCCTGTACGTGACGCCTGCTACTCTCTGTGCATTAGAGATCGGTCTTTCCATTAAAACCGCACAACATTGTTTCGCTTGCTGCACTTACGCCAAACATCGATCCTCGGCAGCAAAACGAGCGCTTTCCTTTGTATGTTTGCCTGCACTTCCGTTTCTGATGGACTTCTCGGATTGATCCGCAGACAGCGCAGTCATTATGTTAGCTCAGCGCTGTTGGTTTAGGTGGGAGCTCATCGAAGGGAAAGAAAATAAGGCGGCAGCGGAGAAGAATGGAGCAAGAGGAGATCTAAGTGGTGTTAGATAAGAGGCTGTGTTAGTGCTGGGGCTCGGAGGCGGCATTGTGAGGATACCCATTGTGTTGAAACGGAGAATTGCAGAGTTAGTTTGTGTACTGAATATTTGCTAACATGTACCAATAATAGTCCTTTCTTTTATCGTTTGCTGTCCTTATTGCGATGATTCGATTTGTAACTCATAAGCTTTGTCCAGAGATCCTGCAAAGCCTAGAAAAAATGCGATATTGGACATGTCATGTAGAGAGCGGTGTACTCGAGGATTTGTGTGTGTGATTCAAAGACGCAGCTTAACCACAATATTTTCACCTGGATTTATACATTCACCCCATAGACTTTATTTCATAATGATACAAATTACTTTTCACTTAATTTTTGTTGTTGTTGTAGCCTCTGTGTCTGACAGATTTGTTTTTTTAGTGGCCCTGAAATGATTTTAAATTCAGATTCAAATTCAGTTTATTTGCCATTTGCAGTAAAACCACATTGGAATACATTAGCAAAAGTCTCCAGTGTGCACAGACAAATACAGACATAAAACAACATTAAAAGACAGAAATAAAACAGTAAACAAATGTCACTGTGAAATCGATCGACTAAAACAGTTCAAAACAAGTGTAAATCATTAAAGTGCTCTGTTCACACTGATAACAGCCTGTGGATAAAAACTGTTAGCGTAACGAGATGTCCTGCATCTCAGAGAGCGATATCTTCTGCCAGAGGGAAGAAGCTGGAACATGGCTTTCCCAGGGTGGCCAGAAGAGTCATTAACAATCCTAAGAGCTTTGTTTAAAAGTCTGGATTTATAAAGAACCTCCAGAACAGGAAGTTCACAGCCCACGGTCCTCTTTGCAGAGCGGAGCACCTTGTTTAAAGCTCTCTTTTCTTTATCTGTGATGTTTCCAAACCACACAGACACAGAACCAACAAGTAAACTCTCAATGGTGCAGCCATAAAAGTTAAGCACAATCTTAGAGTTAGTGGTAAATTCTCTAAGTTTACGCAGAAAGTAGAGACGCTGACGAGCTTTCTTAACGACTCGGTCAGTGTTTTTAACCCATTTCAGGTTAGACAGAGTTAAACCCAGAAACTTGCTCCTCTACGATCTGCACCTGGGAGTTGTCGATTACGACAGACAAATGAGAACTATTGCGACTGAAGTCGTGACCAGTTCACATGTTTTGGATGCGTTCAACTGGAGGTTGTTAGTTTGACTCCACTGAACCACATTTTGTATCTCTGCTCTATAAGAGGAAACTTGCAGTATTGATGGTTATGGGATAACATGGTATGTTATACATTTCTCTGAAGCTAATTTTCTCAAGGAATCAACCATAAAATTTAAATTTGAACCCAAACTTAGTTCTACGTTAAATATACTACAACGATCATTTCTGAATGACATCTCTTTGTTTTGTTTCAATCCAAACAGTAACTGAGATAATTTTGGACTGAAAAATCTTCCAGAAAATCATATCCAAACTCATGTGTCAAATAACTTAAATTAAATAGTAATGATATTTAAAGAAGACCACTTTTAGTGTATACTTTGAGCCTTGACCAATTCTTATTTTTGTTGTATTGTCCCCAGACCAAGATGAGTTTGATGCCCCTGATTTCAAACTCTAGAAAAGCCCATATTGGAAAGAAAAACCCGCAAACAACATTATTATAGAACCGTGTTTATGATCTAAACCAGTAGTTGGGAACCTTTTTCGCTGAGAGAGCCAAAGAAATCTCCTACTTAAACATTTCTGTGGGAGCCATGCATATTTTTTTATGTGTGATTTAAAAACAAGATCCACACATTTATACTGAGATATTAGTAATGTTGTTTATCTAATGTCTTTCGTTGAATAAGATGTTTATGCTGAAGGAATCTAGTGCATAAACTAAACTAAGAATTGCCTGAGAGCCGGACACAATCTTCAAAAGAGCCGCATCTGGCTTCTGAGCCACAGGTTCCTGATCCCTGGTCTCAACAATGGCCATGAATTCAGAAAATAAAAATGAGGCAATTAGTGGCTTTGTAAGAAGTATTTGAAGGTCCTTTGGCCAAATACTGTCTGCGCCATTCGAAAGATATATTGTTTGAAAATCATACAAAGTGATTTTTTTTGTCATTTTGCAGTTCCGTGCAGTGTGTACTTGATTAAAATAAGAGATGAGATCAGAGTTCCTTTATTCGTCCCACAGTGGGGAAATGTCGATGTTGCAGCGCACAGACTGCGGCACGGTGGCTGAGTGGATAGCACTCTCGCCTCTCAGCAAGAAGGTCCTGGGTTCGAATCCCGGTCGGACCAGGGCCTTTCTGAGTGGAGTTTGCATGTTCTCCCCGTGTCTGCGTAGGTTTCCTCCGGGTACTCCGGTTTCCCCTACCACTAAAAATATGTACAATAGTTCTGGCATGTGCCTCCTGTACTGGCCCCTCCCATCTCTGTGTGGAGTGAGAGACAAATGCCCTAAAATTAACAATTGTAAACCGCTTTGAGACTCAGATCTGCAGTGAAAAGGCGGTATATAAATAAAGATTACTACTACTACTACTACAGACAGGACAGTAGTAAGAGCACACAGGGAGCACACCAAACATACAAAATAAGTAGTAGCTATGTTCGTTACTAGTCTAACTAGCTGTAGATGCTGAAAAGGCTTCAATACCAGTCAAAATATATATTAAGGACCCCTCTTTAATTTAATGGTAATTGAGAAACTTGCACAATCTGTAACTGCCAATCATGACCAAGGAGAACATGCATACATATGATTTTCCATGATCAGCTTTAACATTCTAGTTTGGCGTTATCCATCCAACGACACAAACAGATGGCAAACCTTTGTCAGAAAAGTTTCATTGCGAACCTTATTTTGTTAAAAATAAATGTATCTCTTCTTTCACAGCCTATCTGTTGAAGAAATCCAGTCCAAAGTGACATTCATTCAAGATGAGACGAGAGTTCTTACAGAAGACGAGGCTGTGGTAAGTGTCTTTTGAAGAAGCTTCAAAGAACTGAGCTATTCATGATTTCCTTCTTCTTTCACATCCATAATGCCATGGCCGTGCTTTTATTATAATTGTTTGCTCTTTAAATGCATCCCGACAGTAAATGTATGCTATTACAGTGCCATTACATTAACATAATTGATAAAATAGACCAACTGTGACTAATGCGGTGGAATAAATGCATTTCTATTTCCATTCAAATATTTATACAGCACATTGGTAAACATTGTTCTCTGACAGTGAACATTTTCCCCAGTTTGCCTTTTCCCCAAACGCAAAACCATTCTCAGAAGCTCCGACGCTTTTGTTTTTATGTGCCGCACATTTTCTCCGGCTGTTCAACAAGGTCCTTTCTACATTCATTTAAATTCCACACAGGAAGAAAACACTTTACCTCCCCTCCAGCTACAATGTGTGAAAGCAGCACTGTCTTTCCCTGCTCTGAACTCTAGCACATATCAAAATCTGTGGCTGTAAACAAAATGGCTAAAGCCCCATTTTCTCCTCGGTTATTGTGACGTTATAAATGGCCGTTGAAATGCACATGCACGCTCCAAACGTGACTGCTGCTGCCGGCGACTCCCACTGTGGGGCAGAGAAAGTTCAGCCTGTGCTTGTCACACTGTCTCTGTTCTGATGACATCACTTGGGCTATATGTGGCTATACGTGTATGCTAGCTTAGAGCACTCTCCTGTTGCACGTTATGACATCAGTCACACCTACAGACAGGCTTATCTATGCAGAATATGGGGGAAGAAAGGGCCCAAAGGAAAATGTATACTCACAGATACCACACAATATTAAATGTGAAGTGTGGTATTAGTAGTTTAGTGAGGTTTTATTGTTTTCAGTGAGGTGTGCACACATTTGCAGTTTCATTCTGCATAGTATGTAGTTACTGCTCTGTTTGAGGTTTTTTTTGTGGCACATTTCAGCACATGCAGGAAAACATGAAACTCCTGTCAGATTCAGATTCAGATTATCAGAGCTACACCCAGTACACTCAGCACCAGCCCCTCACTGATCCTCCTGCAGGAGCTGAGTCCACAGGAGCTGAGATCTTTTAGTGGGGGCTTCAGGCAAAGTGGGGTTAAGTGTCTTGCCCAAGGACACAACGACAGCAGTCATCAGTGGGAGTCGTGAAGTAGGTCTCGTGGTGGGCCCGAACCCACAACCTTCAGGCTCAAAGACCAATGCTCTACCAACTGAGCCACTGTCGCCCCTTTTATGCAAATGGCAATATTGCCATTTGCAGTAAAACCACTATGGAATACATTTGCAAAAGTCAAAAGACAAGCACATAAATAATCTAGGTTTAAAGTACAGGAATAAAACAACATAAAAAGTGCAGGAAAGAATTGACACTGTGGAATTGACAAACTGTTTCAATACAGGGGCAAGATGCAAGGGCTTTGTTTAAACAGCTTTTAGAAAGAAGGTGTTAGCACAGTGAGATGTCCTGCATGGCAGCAAACAATACTTTTTACCAGCGGGAAGAAGCTGGAATATGGCTTTTCCAAGAGCCAGAAGAGTCATTGATTATCTTAAGAGCTCGGTTTTAAAGTCTGGATTTATAACGAACCTCCAGAACAGGAAGCTGACAGCTCATAGTCCTCTCTCTGGTTTCTCTCTGGTCTCTCTCTCTGGTTTCTCTCTGGTCTCTCTCTCTGGTCTCTCTCTCGGGTCTCTCTCTCTGGCCTCTCTCTCTGGTCTCTCTCTGGTCTATCTCTCTGGTCTCTCTCTCTGGTCTCTCTCTGGTCTCTCTCTGGTCTATCTCTCTGGTCTCTCTCTCTGGTCTCTCTCTCTGGTCTCTCTCTGGTCTATCTCTCTGGTCTCTCTCTCTGGTCTCTCTCTCGGGTCTCTCTCTCGGGTCTCTCTCTCTGGTCTCTCTCTCTGGTCTCTCTCTCTGGTCTCTCTCTGGTCTCTCTCTCTGGTCTCTCTCTGGTCTCTCTCTGGTCTCTCTCTCTGGTCTCTCTCTCTGGTCTCTCTCTGGTCTCTCTCTCTGGTCTCTCTCTCTGGTCTCTCTCTGGTCTCTCTCACTGGTCTCTCTATGGTCTCTCTCTCTGGTCTCTCTCTCTGGTCTCTCTCTGGTCTCTCTCTCTGGTCTCTCTCTGGTCTCTCTCACTGGTCTCTCTATGGTCTCTCTATGGTCTCTCTTTATTATCACATTCTTCGCCAAAATACAACCTTCCCGTTTGACGCAAACTCTTGACATCATCCACATCTAACTAAAACACCCGCCTCCCGCGCTCTCTGATTGGTCGGTCGAAATTTAAGTGATTGCAATCGCTAAGACAGGAACCAGAACCTTGTGATCAATACTACTCCGTGGGCTTTTTTGTTCTCAAAGCGTTCCCTAAAGCACACTTGAAGATGATTTGCCCCATGAATATACATACATATTTAAACTGTATGCAGAATGTAAATTTCAATAAACGATAAAAAGTCCGTAGTTACTTCCCACCTGTTTTTCTTTGAGGCAAACATTGCAATAAATCAGAGGCACCGAGCAAAAGTGCAGATGTGTGTTGGCTAACAGGGAGGCACCGCTAATGAATTCTGCTGCATATGAAGAGGATGAATGGTTATGAATATGCATGAATGTGTACTTTAACAGCAACCACAACAAACCGCGATCAAGCTGGGGAAATTAAGCATGCCGCCATTGACAGCAGTTAACAGGCAATTTACATTGAAAGTGACAAGCGGGTCTCGTGTTAGCGCCTCAATCAGGGTCTGCTCCCGTTGTCGTAAAGCAGCGGTTCATTTTCCATGGTAGGAGGGATTACTCTGTAGGATTTAGCTCAGCCTGGCAAGTAATTACTACTGCCTTTTTTCCCTGTTGATAAGTGCCATTAGCATTTCTTGCGCGGTAACCTATCAAATTTGTGTGGGTCGACGCAGATTGCCAAGAAAGTACTGAAGTCGTAGGCAGCTAGTTAGTGTTCCCATAAAGTTAAGTTGTGTGATGGCAACACTGTGAATTAGTATTCAAGGCGAGCTGGCACTGGCGCTAATGTAAGTCTCTTCTTTATCGCATGTTATCTTTGTGTTTATCTGCGTCTCACAGATTCATTATTTCTAAACATGTTTAATTGTGTTTATACTGAATGTGCTGCATAACTGTCATTTTTTTTAAGTTAAGGTTGTTGTTACAAGGTGTGCGATACAATACAATGATATACAATTTGGCACACACACACACACACACCCAACACACACACACACACACACACACACACACACCCAACACACACACACACACACACACAACACACACACACACACACACACACACACACACACACACACACACACACACACACACACACACACACACACACACACACACCCCCTCCCACACACACACACACACACACACACACACACACACACACACACACACACACACACACACACACACACACACACACACACACACACACCCCCACACACACACACGCACACACCCCACACACACACACACACACACCCCCCACACACACACACACACACACACACACCACACACACACCCAACCCAAATATAAAAATCAAGATGTGACCATAAACATGAACTTTATTTAATTGACAAAAAATAGAAAATAATTATACATTGGTTTTATTCAGCGCTTTTTTGGACACTCAAAGACACTTCACATCATTATTCATTCACTCCAAACACGGTGGTGATAAACTACTACTGTAGCCACAGCTGCCCTGGGGCACACTGACAGAAGCGAGGCAACCAGTCTGTGCCATCGGCCCCTCCCACCACCACCAACCATTCACACACACACCAGACTCATTCTAGGCAATGGGGGTGAAGTGTCTTGCCTAAGGACACAACAGCAGTTTGGCACTTTACAGCCGCAGCCGCCCCACTGTGGCTGCTGTTCCCAGAGGTTAAGTGTCTTGCCCAAGGACATGACTGGAAGACTGTATATGGACACCTTGTTAGTCTGAATGTATGGGGAAATTGTTTATGCTATGTCTTTTTCTTTGTATGTGTCGCTGTGCTGTGAACCAAATTGCCCCATCGGGGACATGAAATAAAGTGAAGTGAAGTGAAGTGCCCAAGGACACAACGACAGCAGACAGTGGGAGTCGGTGGAGAAAGTCTTGTAGTGGACCCGAACCCACGACATCCAGGCTCAAAGACCAATGCTCTACCAACTGAGCCACTGTCGCCCCTACTGTGTAATGACACTACATTCTCTCATTGACTTGATTATAAAACATCTATTGCTATGACATTTGTGAGATCCATGAGTTGTACCGGTTATTAGTTTGTTTTATACAGGTATACATATTGTTCTCAGTACCATCCATCCATTCTCTACCCCTTTATTCTCAGTACCTATTTATAGTATACCATTCTTCTCTGGTGTTTGAGCACACCTGTTTATTTGCCGCACCAGTAACATTTTAAGTGTAAATAAACTTTGTGCAGGCAGCAGGTGTTCATGTTGTGAGGTACAAGTGACCGAAAGTGACCGAAATGGCACAAGAACCTCTGAGGACGTACACATGTAATATTTCTTTTAACTTTGTGTTTTAAGAGTCACAAATCGCACCAGGATGTGAATATAGCCCTCTGCCGGAGACAAATTACCAAGATTCTAGTAATACTTGGAGCATGCTTGCTTAGCTTAGCTGTTAGCTTCCATTTTGGGGTCAATAACCTGTCAATAAGGGCGGCACGGTGGCTGAGTGGATAGCACTCTCGCCTCTCAGCAAGAAGGTCCTGGGTTCGAATCCCGGACGGAACAGGGCCTTTCTGAGTGGAGTTTGCATGTTCTCCCCGTGTCTGCGTAGGTTTCCTCCGGGTGCTCCGGTTTCCCCTACCACTAAAAATATGTCCAATAGTTCTAGCATGCGCCTCCTGTACTGGCCCCGCTCCATCTCTGTGTGGAGTGAGAGACAAGTGCCCAAAAATTAACAATTGTAAACCGCTTTGAGACTCAAATCTGCAGTGAAAAGGCGGTATA